GGACGCAACATGATGGCTAAGAGCGAGGATAATTTTTTAAAATTTTTTAAATTTATGCCTCGTTTATTTCGTGGATTTGTGTTTTCAATTCGAGTTGAGATGTAATATTTATAGGAGCTTTTCACTGTAGCAGAAAAAAATTAGATATGACATTTTCTGAGAGCTTTTTACTGTAGAAATTTAAAACTAAAAACTTAAATCGGTGAAATGAACGAGTACTTAAAATTTATTTTTTTTATAAATTTACAAAATTATTCTTTATCGAGTAATCATGTCATCTACACACGACTAAAAAATGACTAAAACGATTAAAATTTTGACGGCTAAATGAGAGAGACAGTAAAATTGCAACTTATTATAGTTAATGACATTTTGAGTTGATAGAGCAGGGTGAGACAGCCACTGGGGGCGAAATTTAAATTTAAACCGTAATTTGTCATTCTAAAAGGAGGCTTTGGAATTATATATGGCCTAAAACTAGGACTAGCTAGGGACAACGTTATGTAATTTCTAGTTTTTAAAAGAAAAATATATCTATATTCGGATTTGATTTTTATGTGACTCGACAGTTCATAATTGTACCTTATTACTGATATGTTTTTCATACCCTATTATTTTTATTTTTTATTAACGAAACACTTTTTTATTTGGAGATTTTTCTACTAGGGGGGAAAAAAAAAGAAGAGAAAAAACAAAAGAACAATTGATAGTCGCAGTTATAAATCGCCAGATTTTTCATGCTTTTTTCAATCTTACATAACTTCACGGTTCAAAATGCATGTTATTTACCAGTAGGTTTTTATGTTTTTAACTGTACCATATAATTCTCTTTTTTCTTTTAATTAAGATTTAGATAATATTTGAGACTTTTTTTTTTTTTTAAAAGCATATTAATACCTTGCTTGTACTTGTCATTCCCGCGTAACTAACCCAACAGCTCCACTCATCTCTATTCGTGTGTCTGTATTTGGCTAAGTCAACCCTAACCTAAGCCTATTACTTACAATTATTAACAAACAAAAAAGGCCCCGGAAAAAAAAAAAAGAATACCATTAGTGGTGATAAGGTGTTTATCTCTCCATTTTTCATGTCGTTTTGTCTCTTCTGTTTAGAGTTAGGAGGTAAACCAATCTCTTTTAGGTCATTAATGAAAACGCCTAACAATCAACCTTATTCATTTTCAAATTTCGTCATAAATTGCAAATTATGGTTAATATTGCGATATCAAATTGCCACAACCACAATGAAAAATAGTTTATTTATATCCCGTTTATTTCACCGATTCGAGTTTTATAACAGTAAAAAGCTCTTAAAAATAGTCACATTTTATATTTTTACTACAGTAAAAATCTCTTATATAAACTCATATCTCAACTCAAATTAAAAACTCGAATCGGCGAACTAAATGGACTGTGTGTGGAGATCAAACATGAACTAAATGTTTGATGATAAAAACTTGCCAATTAATAGTCTCTAAGGACGAATAAGAAGGCTTATCCTAATACCATGGGATAAGGGAATATCTTATAAATTATTCATGTTACCACTTGCGTATTTAGTCATTGAGCACCTTGAAAAGTTGTTCAATTTCCTTCTCCTCTTGCAGAATAGACAATAATGATTGATGGAAATTTGTACTATGGGTCAACATTTGGTTCTATGTATAAAAACATAAATAAATAAATAAATAACTCTTTTCTTTTCGCGATAACAATTGCAATAGTTGTTCAATTGTATTTTTAAATTATGGTGACTTGAGTGTAGATCTTGAGTTGAATTTGAATTATAACTTAAGTTGAAGTTGTAACTTGAGTTTGTGTTTGGTTGTGTACATTTGAGTTATAGTTTGATATGAGAATCTTTTTGAGTTTGTGCTTGGGTGGGTCAAAACTTGAATTTGTGTTAGATAGTATTTTAATAAAATCTCAATGATGATGGAAAATTTTAATAGGGTATATGGGTGGAGTTTTAGTCGTCTCTTCGTTGTGAACGCATAAAAAAAAGAATCATCTCAATCAGAATTAAAATAAAAAAGATATAGCGTTTTTAAAAATAGAAAAAATATTATTTATTAACTTGAGTTTGAGTTTAAGAACTTGAGTTGAAGGAGAAACTTGAACTCAGATTTTAACCCTAAACTCAAGTTAAAATTCAAGTTTAAACTCAAGTCTAAACTCAAATTTTACAAAAGAACATAAATTTAAATAAAGTTGTAACTTGAGTTCAAACTTTTTTTGAGTTTAAATGCAAACGAACAAACCCTAGTTTTGTGGAACACCTTTTTATGGGGAACAAACGCATGAGAAATCTTTCATAGCGTTTGTGCAAGTTTGGCAGACTTTCTTATAGGGAAAATTCATAAAGATGAGTGCAAATATAGGAATGAGGATATTTGGTTGGTGAATATATTCAGGTATTAGTTAAAATCCACATACTAAACAGAAAGGTCCTTGTACTAGTATTTAGTATTGGTTTGGCTTCAATTTACACAACTATACACGTCTTCATTATTTTCCAAGGAATAATATCAATGTAATATTCAAACCCCAAATCCCCCTTTTCCTTAGCCACAAAAAACCTGAAAAATAAAGATATTTGCATCCTTTCTTTTTCTGTAAATAGGAACTTATTCTGTTGGTTAGATGATTATTCTTATGTGTAAGAGATTATCATGCTCATTATTCAGAGCTGGCCGACCAAAACCAAATATAACATGATTAAAGCCACCAATGACATAAACTTATCCCAAACGGCCTAGTCTATATGCCTCCAATCTATTTCATAGTGAATTAGGTTGCCTCAATTTGCTCATCAAATTGAAAGTTTGTGCACTATTTTTTCCTTTGATTCTAGTTCCACTCCAATTATCACGAAGATACCAAAGAGGTTTTCTAATTTGTTTTAACTAGGCTCGGACATAGATTCGAACTCTCAAGAAAACCGTGGACTCAATTATCATATGTCCTAATATAGAGATAATGTGCTAGGTTAAAAGAAAGTTTCCAAAATCAACTTTTTTTTTCTCTGCAAAAAAAGGATCGTTATTTTCTTACATCTTCCGAAGCTAGATTTTTAGAATCTAGAGTGACTAGCTTTGTTTCGTATTGCTTTTCGCTCTTAAAATCAGCTTTTGCATATAGCAAACGTTGATTTTAGTGTTTAGTAAATCTCCTCAAAAGTACTTTTTGAAGAATTTTTAAATAATCTACAGCCAAAATCAGAAGCAGCCCGCAGACAATTTTAGCTTTTAAATTGTGTTGGAATCAGCATAATATAATTAATAAAACTTTTATAATACCCATAATACCCCTAATAAAATTTAAAATTTACAGTCTTTATAATCTAAAATTCAGACTCGTAATATAATATAATATAATAGTTATATTGTAACAAATAATATCATAATTATATTAATAACTGTAATATTATTATTTTATCATAATATTA